GCTTGAAAGTTATCTGCAATTGCAACAATATCAGTGAAAGTGATGAGGATATTAGCACTGACGATGACACAAACAAAAGCAATGACAATAAAGAAGACTTTTCCGGCGGGTTTCAAGTTGTAATGAGTGAAAAATATGATCCTATTGAACTGATTGATGATCTGCAGCCGTTATCACTAGGTACCAAATTCCTCTACTGTGTAAAAATACACAGTAGAGGAATTTGGTAAAGGTCTTCCATTGATACTTGACTCCAAAACTCGCTGAAGTAGCTTACACACTATGCTCGAACGTTTTGTGAAATTGAAAAACTGCAATCGCAAGTCGCTGATTGACCTTAAATCCAAAATTGGAATAACTGATAAGGAGTTCAATTCAATTTTAGATGTTGTTTAATGTCTTGCGCCAGTAAAATTGGCTGTGGAAGCATTGTGTCGAAATGATGCAACACTATTATTAGCTGATACAACACTAATGTTCATGATATATAACATTGGAGACACAGATTTAGCTGTTAAGTTAAAAGCTACTTTAGTGCGACGAATCAATGAGCGATGTACACTTTTTTCCAGCTTACTGCACTATCTGCACAAAGGCCATCAACGTTATGAAAACTTGGATCAGCTATTGTAAATACCATTGCTCGACTGAATGATCAGCTTAGTCAGCGAGCTTATAATCCTTCCACCAGTGTATCTTCTGATAGCGATTCTGTTGACAACACTGAAAACTTGTCATTAAAAGAAAAGGCTTGACATGGCAATTTTGAGTAATAAGAAATGTAACAATAGGAAAAGATTGAACGTTTTGAATAACTTATCAAAAACCATACGCAATGAGATGGTAGTTTTCGAAGATCGAAAAACTCGCGGTGTATGTTTGCAAAATTCATATGAATACTTGAGAACTGTAAAGCCAACAAGTGTCGAATTGGAGCGTGGATTTTCAGCAAGTGGCAAAATTGTCACAAAATTACGATCATCTCTTAAAGATGATACTCTGAATGCTTCTTACGGGCATACTTTACAAAAGTAAAGTATGCCCGTAAAAATTACACCAAGATTTTTTTGGTTTTTTACAAAACCAAAAAAATCTTGGTGTAATTTTTAACAAAAAGTTAAAATGGAGTTATCGCATCAAACATGCAATAAATAAAGCAATTTTAGTTCTAGCCATGCTTAAGCGAACATTTAAATCTTGGAAAAGAACTATTTTTGTTAGATTGTTTACTACCTTTGTTCGACCTCATTTAGAATACTGTGCATCTGTTTGGAATTCTTTTAAAAGAAGACATAAAGTCTCTAGAAGCCATCCAGAAAAGAGCAACTAAACTTGTGCCAGCAATCAGAAATTACAAAGCCCGTCTAACTTACCTCAATCTACAAGCTCTAGAACAAAGGGAAAGAGGGGATTTGATTCAATATTTTAAAGCAGTCAAGGGGTTTAACAAACTTAATTTTCATAAAAACACCCTACCACATTCCCTATAAGCATAAGGGCCTGCAAGTAATGTTAAAGGCTCAAAGTTAAGAGTGTCGAGACAATTCATAAGAAACCAAGCGAGATTTAAATTCATAACAGGAATGTACTCTTATGGAATAAGTTACCTAATCAAGTTATTAATTCAAGAAGCGTCAATGAATTTAAAAATTGATATGACAAGTTTATTGTTGTTAAACAGGCATCTGTTAAAGTCTGCTAAACAAAGTTCAAAATAGTTTTTTGTTATTGCAGTTTATTGTATTATATTATATTATATCTAACCCTCGAAGTTAGGAGCAATGCCGACATCTAACAGGTTGTGTTTTTGCAATAAATTATTGACCTCAAACTTTTAGAGGTCAAATTGTTAATGTTTCATTTTGAGTTGAATGTTTCATTTTTGATATATATATATATATATGTATATATATATATATATATATATATATATATATATATATATATATATATATATATATATATATATATATATATATTATACTATATAGTATATATAAAATGCACTAATACACTTATACTATATATATATATATATATATATATATATATATATATATATATATATATATATATATATATATATATATATATATATACACATATGAATATATATATATATATATATATATATATATATATATATATATATATATATATATATATATATATATATGTATATATATATATATATGTATATATATATATATATTATACTATATAATATATATATATATATATATATATATATATATATATATATATATATATATATATATATATATATATATATATATATATATATATATATATATATGTTATATAGTATAATATAATATATTTATTCCCTGATAATCTATTTAGTTTGGTAAGTGCTCATTTTATCCGTGATTTTATGGACTTGCACTAAGCAAAAATGAAACATTAACAATTTGGGCTTAATAACACTAATAAACCACCAAAAGATGCAGCTGTAGATGTTTTTTAACCAAAATAGAGTTTAACTAAAGAGTAATCATAATAAAGCTAAACTGGAAAGCCTTCCAAAGAAACACACAAGGGTGATAATCAAATCCTATATCATAGGCGAAAACTGATGAATGAGAGCAAAACAATTCCATAATGTGAGGTCATCAAAAAGCTTCATATACACGCTCCCCTGGGCTAGACCTAAAAGTAGGTCAAGGTTATAGCCATCTGTGAAAGTATTTAAAACCAAAAACAATGTATTAAAAGCAAAGAGATAACCTTAATATGAATAACTAGATAATATACGCAAAAAAATGCTAAGAATCACTTACTTGACACCAGACCTCGGTTACAAGTTTTAAGCTGAATAGCAAACACGGCAAAAATAACACAGATATATGTAGCGTATTTTTATAGCAAATGTATTCTTGGTTGCAATCTAAATTAGTTTGTTGTGGTTTGCATTATACAGTCTTCATTAATGTTCTTTTGGTCGTTTTATCAACAATATTGTTTTTTAATATTACATTTTTCAGGGGTTATAAGCTATTAGTAATAATCGCATACTTACCAGGTAAGATTCATATTTCTCATACTATTGGAGTTACTACATTTTTTAACATATTTTCTACTAACTACTTTTGTACTAACAACAAACCATCTTAAAGTTTCGATGTTTATGAGTAGTATTTACTTGATATATTTGTAAGACATATTACAGCCATAAAAGAAATGGTAAGTTACTCTTCATTATTAATTACTATTTTCTATTTTCTTTGTGTTATTTCTATACATTAAAATTGTTTATTATAATAAATGGGCGTGTATGTATACACATTTGTCTTTTCTAGTGTAAGAGTAAATAATATTTATATGTCTACGTATTTACATATTTATTTATGGTTACACCACGCACATCCCTTACCACCCTTACAAGATCTCTAAGAATGTTGGAGTCTAATCTTTAAGAATGTCCATCCTCATCTCTAAGAGTGTTGGAGCTGTATTAAAAACTGGGATAGAGATTGGGACTTTTGGCTTTTTTACTGTAGTCCTATCATATTGCAATATTGACTAACATGACGTGAGGTGCAGGCGGTAATATATGTCGCAAGGACACGGGTCTGACGTGTGGCGTTAATGTTCTCATGCTCTCCGAAACGTCTTTGGTGATTGCAGTGCATTCCTGAGGAGGGGGATCACCATTCATCCACTGTTTAATTCTAATTGGTTATGGCACCAACATTTTTTTACCTCTTAAACCCGTGAGTTTAAGCGCTTTGTGAGCTTTATATTATGAATTTGTTACATTAACAACATTTATATATGCTAATATTACACAGGTAGTTTATAATATACTTATTATATTGTTTTTGTATTGTGTGATATTTTAGTCATGGTAACCATTAATAAACCAGCGGTTTTGTATAGACTTTTTCATTCATAGACCATTGTCTTATCATTTGCTAAAGATGACTAGAGTGTGTTATGGTTCCTTCTCTTCCTGAGGCGTGAAATTGTTATCCTCCTACTAAATAGTCTTTACATACATTTATGTTGAGATATCACAAGCTTTTTTCCCAACTTTTTAATATGGACCCGGTGCCTGCTACCTGGGCTCGGACTCGGTATTTTCTGTCGGGTACCCTGAATCAGGGACTTTTATGATATATATATATATATATATATATATATATATATATATATATATATATATATATATATATATATATATATATATATATATATATATATACATATATATATATATATATATATATATATATATATATATATATATATATATATGTATATATATATATATATTTCATTACGGGGACTTTTATGATATATATATATATATATATATATATATATATATATATATATATATATATATATATATATATATATATATATATATATATATATATATATATATATATATATATATATATATATATATATATATATATATATATAAATGGTTCATGGGTTCATTTTTAAACTAGCACCCACCCTACCCTGTTTTGCTCTTCTACCTCCAAAATATGTGACAGAATTTACAAACATCAAATTTACTAATTATAACGATTACTGATTGTTATAGTGACGTAGTGTTATCACAATATAATATTGAGACACTGATTGTTTAAAACAATCTTGGAAAGCATGAGTATTTTTTTTGTTTATTTACCCATTCAGGGCCGTCATGAGAGGGGCGTAGGGGGGTGTCTAGCTCCCTAATTTTTTTAGTCTATTTTTTTCGGTCGGCAAATTAGAGCTGGAGTCGGCAAAATTGAATCTATAGTTGGCAGTCGGCAAATATCGGAAAACGAGGACCTTTTTATTTATAGTGGTCATAAAATTTTTTTTGGCTTTAGTCGGCAAAAAACAGACACATCACCCTCCCTCCCTTTAAAATCTCTTCGGAACGGCCCTGTACCCATTTTAAGTTATTTTAGAATATTCATACTTTAATTTATTATATGTTCTATTATATATTATATTTCCTGTATATTTTATTTTAGTTCGTTTGTAGCGTCAATTAAAGAAGCAATCTAAAAAACATAAATACATATATTAAAAAAAGAAATCTAGCAACAGTTGTGCTGGTCAAATTTTTGTTGAAGATATTTAAATATTTTTGTAGTTAATTTTTAATCTTAGATTTAACTAGCGTGAGACTAAAGATGACTTTTTTACAATAGGTTTACTAAACTTGACATGATCATGTCATTTAAATACCAATATGATTGCATGTTACTGTGATTGTGTATCAAATTATATTTACTAATTCTATTTTTTTGCATTCAATTTTTAAAAACATAAAAAATTCAATTTAAAATAAATGCGTTTAATTGCATTAAGAATGTTAATGAAAAATAATATGCTTTTATATAAAAAAAAAATGCTTTTATACAAAAAAAGATATATATACTTTTAAAAGCAATAATGCGTTAAAGTTGCTCTGGAAATGTTAAGGTGATTTTGTGATTTTTTCCCTGATGAAATAAAAACGTTTTCAGCCAATTCTCCATTCAAAGTTTTGGTTATTTGAATTTTTTGGCGCGCAGCACTTTTCTTTGAGGGAAATTTATTTTAAAGCGAAATAAAATCTGAACAGCTTAAAATGCTCTTATTTAAGTGTTTATAACTTTTTATAAAAGGTTTAGGTAAAAGTTAAAATAACGAAAAATGACTTGCTAATTTCTTGCTTTAACATATTAGTTTATATTACTTTCTGTAAATAAAATTTAACAATGGTAATAATAATAAAACAACTACAATTTGTTAAATATGATCTGTTTTTTTTTTTCATTTTATGGACAAAAAAATATAAGCGAAAATTATAAATAATTTAAAAAAAAAAACTTTAAAGGTGGTATCCAGCCATTATTTCTATTTTCTTATATTTTACACATAATAAATACCTTTGATGAATTTTAATTAAAAAATTTTAATTAAAAAATAATTGCTGACTCAGCAAAAAAAAAGTGAAAATATTAATCTCCCAACAACATAAATATCTTAAGATTATATCAATATTAAAGGTTGAAATTTTGCAAAATGCTAGTATGTTAGTGTAGCCTGTGTCTGAACAAAAAATGTTTTGAAAAAATTTAAACGATCAAAAATGGCAGACTTAGTATAGTATAAAAAAAGATAGACTTAGTATAGTATAAAAAACTTAGTATAGTATAAAAAAATTAGTATAGTATAAAAAACTATTTTTAGCGGTAAAACACTCATTTGATATGGTAATTGTAAGTAAAGTTTAGTTTTTTTAATTTTGTTTTAGGTTCAGGCACTAAAAACATTAATTATAAACATATCCTGAAAATTTGAAGCTAAAATAATGTTTTTTATTAAGATGTTTTCCTACAGTTACTCATAAAAAAAAAAAAAAATTAAGAAAAATAAATTTTTAAATTATAAGTCATGTACACTACGCAGATAAATCATTAAAAGTTTCTTTATCTAATTTTTGTCCAAAATAGTTTTTTCTAACAGATCTTAATTCTTTTCTCTCTTTTTTTTTGTTTTATTTGACATTTTTTTTGTTTATATTTTTTAACCGTATAGAGTTTTTTTTACTTGTACCAATTTCAAAGTAATTACCAGATTTAATATTAGGAGCATCAATTACAGATGATAACTTGGCAAAGCCATCATTTTAAGTAATAGTTGCAGAGTAAACAGCCATTTCAACAACAATTTTTAGGTGAATATAGTTTAAGGGAAACGGTTCCAAATTAATTGATTAAACACTTCATTTTCATTTTGAGTCATGCCGCGCAAACATTTTGTAAGCATATCAGTATTTGCTAGATCTTGAAAAACTGGCTTGATCTTTTCCATAATGGCAACTGGTAAATTCACCTTTTTTTTGTATGTAACTTGACAAGTTGCCCTATCACACTGCCATTTACACCAGCTTTTTTAACCCTTATTGCAAAATATATGACGATATTCTTCAGAAGTAAAATTAGTGTAATAATGAAGTGAAGCTATTACGAAGTTCCTCATTTCCAAAAGATTATTTGAATTTTCTTAAATAGCCATTCCAAAATAATTTTGCAAGATGTTGATTACTTTATCCGTAAGCCGACCTTTATCAGATATACCTTTTCCGTCAGATAGTTTTACCCGTCGTAAATTTTTTCTTTTAAGACGTAGTCGATTCCCCGCACTCTTCTAGTAATGTCCGATACACCCTGGTTTTTTTGGAACAAGATCATCATTATAAGGTTTTCGAGTAATAACTAAATGAGGTCGCCAAGATATTGAGAATAGGGAATGTTAATATTTACTGATAAGCAAAATATTTCTGTTGCATTAGCTGACTGAATGGCACCAACTGATTTAGTGTGATTTAATTGGCAGGACTGATTAACTTTCCACTACTTGCATTTAAGTGTCCTTTTTTTTCTTTTTAAAATTGACAACTTTTACAAATACCTTGAGTAGTCGTGAGACGTTGCCACCACTACACCGTTCAAAGAAGAATATCCTCTCCGCTGCCAGGTACCATCGATAGAAACACCACAAGCAAAAACTTTATTCCTACTAGAGTCAGGTTTCAATATTCTCCTAACTTCCATAGCAGCATTTTTCATACTTTGCTTAACAACTGATTTATAAGCATCATAAAGTTTGCTATTAATACAGTCAAAACTAGGTTGTGATAGAGGTGGTGGCATGTTCATTATGGAGGTAAAAGTTAACATTGGATCTCTACCTCTGCCAATCTCCATGAATGCTATAACAGTGCGTACATTAATTTTACTAGTATTTATATCAGATTTATTGTTTTTGATAACAAGAGGAGAAAAAAAAACTGCAATAAATTTTAAAAACATAGAAAACATCTTAAATGACCATGCAGCATGGAAAGCTTTGTACCACATATATTACAAGTAGCATACTTTTCAAAACAACTTTTCATTTTTTAAAAGTGCGTAAAAAAAATATAAATTCATCATTATCAAATAACGTTTTTTAAGATTTTTTTTCAGCTTTAAACTACTTATAGAACACGTTCATGTGTTTCAAATTGTTTATTGGAATTATTGGAATTATGCTGATTGCCATTAAACTTTCTTTTTCTTGGTCTTCTTATTCTTTTTTGTTTGCCATATTTTACTTTTCAACAATTGTAATAGGTTAGATACAAAAATTAAAAGTTCAAATCACTATTTTATCTGAATTCAAAAAAACAACAACACAATGTTAAACCGTTAAAAAAAGCAATATGACTTAGATTTATGGCATTTAGGCCAATATAAACTTGAAACATAAAAAAAAGTAAAGTTGTAGGCTTTGCATGTTTAATTTTTAGAGACTAACTAGAAGAATATAATGGTTGCTATGCTATGGTCGTTGCTATGTGAAAAAAATAATAATAATCTTAGGGTGTTTGAGAAGAATATTATTAATATTCTAAAATTATTTTGGAAAAAATATTTTTACTATTTAATTCTACAAGGATTAATTGTCTAAATAACAATTTTTCAAATTTTTCTTTATTTTTTCATTTTTCACCAAAATAATGGCTGGATACCACCATAATGGGTGTTCAAGAAAAACCAGTAAAATTTATAAATAGTGATTACTCTCTAAGTTTTTAAGCTTTAAATTTAAGAGAAATAAATTTATATAAAGTATTTATTCCTTTATTAACTTTAATATTAAATTTATTCTATTATTTCAGATTTTTATAGTGTTACTTAAATACTTTTTATTCGAGTTTTTAATTAAATGATACCTCGCTTAGTCAGTTGTTCTTTAATATAATAAATAACAACTCTTAATATAATAAATTACGTTTTATAATAAATGAAATAAAATGATACAAAGTAGAAGAGACGGAAAAAGCGATAAGGACGGCAAGAAAAGAGAGAAAGTATGCTTTGCGTAATTATATAACAATTAAGAAGCTTTTAGGCTTTAGTCACGTGTCCATTATAACGCAACAACCCCCGGCCACCATTCCCAGTGGGTACCGGACCAAAAAAAGACGTCTTATGAACGTTCAAAAGACGTCCAAAATGTTCAAAAGACGTTCAAAAGACGTTCAAAAGACGTTCAAAATGTGTATAAGACGTTTAAAAGACGTCTTTATTACGTCCGTGTCTACTAGGTTATTTATTAACTAAAGGTCAAAAGTCATTTTTGTTACAAAACTTCACTTCTAACTCTTTTAGATACCAGTATTCCATTAGAAGCTTCTAGAAAATATAGCTTATTAATAGGTATTTTGACTAGAAACTCTTTTTGATTGTTAAAGTATTTGACTTCTTTACTCTAACTTGTTTGTCCGTTGATTTGATTAGTTTATGTACTATTCTGATATTCCATAGTCCTTGTTTAACATTTTGTTCATGAATTAATACGACATTGTTAATCAAAATGTTATTTGTACCGTTTATTTTAAAGCTCTTGTGATTTTCTCGTAACTCAGTTATATATTCTTGTTGCCATGGTTTTCAATAATAATTAAAGATATCGAAAAAAAATAAACATCGAAAAAACTAAATGGATCCTCTTTTACCCAGCTTAAAAAAAATATATATACTTTCGATAATAACTTTCTTTTATATTGATAATACTGAAATAAAGAGAGCTAAAGTTACCAGTTTCTTGGGTGTTTGCATTGATGAAAACCTCACATCGAAAAATCATGTTAACAATCTAAAGAATAAAATTGCTAGAAGTAGAGGAATCCTATACAAGAACTTTTTAAAGTAAATACACTTTAATTCAATTATATTACTCATTTATTCATTGCCATATTAGTTATGGTAATACTGCTTGGGATGGTGTAATACTGCATGGGGTGGTGTAATACTGCATGGGGTGGTGTAAATAAAAGTATACTAGAAGTTCTTTATCGTCAACAGTAGCATATTGCACGTCTTATAAATTCTAATGACCGTTTTACTCATGCCAGGCCTCTTTTACTTAAAATGAATATTCTTAATGTATATCAGCGTAATGTCTATACTATTCTTTGCTTTATGTGTAAATGTAAAACTAACACTTTCCCTTATCCTTTTTATAATTTATACTTACATAAAAAAATAAGCAAATAATATCTTTGAAATGAAAACTTTATCCAACAAACTTATTCGCATACAAATT